GTCGTGGCTCGGGTGGTGTCACGCGCGTGTGACCTTGCACAGCGCTTGCAAGAGCCGTTGCCAGGCACTTGGGAGCACCTGCTGCCTGACTGGGTTCTGCATGTCGACCGGCCTCAAGGCCCCAGGTATGGCGACCTCAGCGCGGAAACGGTCGACGTACTCGAGCAATCAGGGCTTTGTTCGACGATTGAATGTTTGCCAGAGGAAGTGCAGAAGGTGGTCCAAGATCCGAATCAGCTGTTCGCCCAGGCGCCCGCCGACTTGCACTGCTTTGAAAGCTTTTCTGCAGGTGAGCAGGCCGAGTACGTCAAGCTGGTTTGCAGATTGCAGGCAGTTGCGTTCTGGAAAGATTGGCTTGGCCAGATCTGTGCATGGTGGAGGCACCGTGATCTGTGTTGGAAAGCCCGGCACACAGCGGCAACGAGAGGTGTGGCATGGTCAGAAAGTGTCTCAGGCCGCCATTCCGCTGCCAAAGCCGCGACACCTTGCTTCACCCACTGCTTTGCTTTATTTGGAAGCTAGTCCAGAAAATCCACAGCGTGTGAGCAAACGAGATGCCAGGTGCTGGTTTGACCAACTGATCCTTCCGGGTGCCCTCCGACAGTGGATGGGGCGTCCACGAGTGACTGTGGCTGATCTGACGACAACAGGCGGCATGTCAAAGAAGGAGGTACAATCTCACTTGATAAGCAGCTTTGACGGTGAGATTGGCTCGGACAGCGCGCTGTTTCCTGTCAGCCTGGTCTGGCCGATGGGATTCTCTTGGTCAAGCTTTGTTGCACAGGAGAAGTTGCTGAAGCTTTGTCAGTCTGCGGGGCTCTCCGAGGAGCAGGTGCTTTCTTGTGACACTGTTACTCCCTGCTCGTTTGAGCTGACCTTCGGCGCGGCCACTGATGACGTGATGATCTTCAGCAATGCTGGTCCGGGAGTCTCCGCAGCTGCAGCTAGCCGTCTTGACCATGTCATGCTTGAGGCAGGCGTGCTGAAAAATTCCGCCAAGGATGTGAACGATGAACTCAATGCGCCCTGCGTGGGAGTTGATTTTGAAGAAGGACACAGGTTGGGAGTGCCTCCTGGGCGATGCCTTGCCATGTTTGTGTTATCCTGCTGTACATGCGATGACTTGCATTCTTGAAGGTTTTTCATGCATTTATTTATTTTCTTATTTTCGATTTCTCCTTTTTGTATGAGGCAGGGGCACACGGCATCTGCAACCTACCGTGTGCAACGAAGCTACGGCTACGGTTGCAGATGGGATATCCGACTTGGCCAGTCGGACGTACCTGCAAAAAGCTGAGCCCCTGAGCCAGCAAGATTAGCGAAATGTATTTTCGATTTCTGAGGCAGGTTTTAGGTGTTTTCTTTGCAGTCATGTTTTTGCGGACATGTGTATTAAAACCTTTCTGAGTGAATGCGTCCATGTTATGATCGAATGTGCATTATTGTTATGCACAGCTGTCAACCAAAGAAAGCAGGCGGGTCAGTGGGAGCCATTCCAGTTGTGTTCGACAAGAGCTCCCTCATGAGGGCCTTGTCGCTTTTCGGCGAAGTTGCCGGCCCACCGGGGTGCTTGTGTTAGCAGGATCGGAGATCACATCCCGTTTCACAACATGTTCAAGGGGAAATCACTGTGCGGAGATCAGCCTTTTGGAAATCACAGTGGAGATCATAGTGGAGATCACTTGTACAAAGCTGCCATGGATCGTGAACGAACCCCCCGTCGCAATCCCTACTGGAGCTCCTCCACTCCTGATGCGGTTCCTCCACCTCCTGCGAGTTGGCAAAATCCCGTGCCCCCTCCGGCTCTACCCACGGTCCGCCCGACGGTGCTTCAGCCGCAAAATCTCACGTGGCAGCCCAATCCCCGTGCTGCACAGATTATGAACGTTTCGCCAACCCCTCGCATTCCAGGACTGCCATCTCAACCTGATGCTAAGCCACCCAAAGTCTTCGGACCTATGCTACCCGCTGAGTTCTGTCAGAGTCCGAATTATTTGGATTCACGCTCTATTGCAGGCTTGAACCTGGCTCGTTGGGTTAAGAAGACTGAATGGTCGGTTCGAAAGCAGATTGACGGATGCCCGACACACATGGTACCGCTCCATTCATTGCTTTATCAAGGTTGGAATTCATATTGGATTCGACATATTGCTGAAGGAAAGCCGACTTTCTTCGCAGGCTTCAAATCGATTGCTGAGATCGTATTCTGTCATGCATTGTTCGGAAAATTGCGAGATGAAGAAGTCGACTTGGATGAGCTTGCTTCCATTGTGCAGGGTACCAGTGACGCTGCTTGGAAGAGTGGTGCTTCGGACTCCAAATCGCAGGCCACACATCTGTTGGCACAGAAGGTTGTTGACTACATGATAGGTCTGTATCCTCAGGCTTCAGTTGACACGGAGAAGGCAGCCATGGCGAATCAGATTCAGATGCTTCAACAACAACTTGCGAGCTTTGAGAATGCTTCCCCCTCCCGCACTTCTAACCAGGCTACCGCAGAACAGAAAGGGCTGCCGATTGAGGAAAGCCCCCCCGGACCAGTGTCAGAGTCAACAACTTCTGTTCAAAAAGTTCCTGATGTCACGACTTGTCTTCTTCGTGGCCAGACGGCTGAGCCGAAAAGTAATCTTATGCAGGCCTTCCAGAAAGGCAAACCATCGGGGAGCCAGGCAGAACCGTTGAATATTGAGAATGGGGAGGTTGAGACGCAAGGTCGCAGCCCAGGAAGTTCTCAGTTTGAGTATGGCACGTCCTCGCATGTCGGACAGGTTGTGACGAGTGTTCTCACGGATGTGTCCAAACGCCATTTCTTGACACGTGGTTGGAAAACTTGCAAGTCGGACAAGGAAGTGTCGACATGGATAGAAGGATTGACCTTGAGCAAAAATAACCGCAAGAAGCTGGAGACATGGACAGCCCATGTCCAACGATGGCATGCGGACCTTCCTTCCAATGAACAGGCCGAGTTGGATCAGGTTGTTGCCAACTGGGGCATCCCCATTCGTGATGTTGCCAAGCTTAAAGCAGGCTCACTGCTGCGTATTTTAGCTGTCGGAACAGTTCTTGTGGCTTGACTACAAGCCACACTGGATGACAGAGAGCGGTGTAGCAGCGGCAATCCACCACAAGGATGGTGGCGAAAGCACCGAAGTGACGTGGACTTGCTTCGGAATGCTCATCTCTTTTTCCAGAGTGTCTACGAGACACCCACCATGTTCGGACAACAATGGATGGACATTGTTATTGGGTCCGTGGAAAGCTCCTTTTGCTGGCATGTGAGTTCGGGCTTGTACAGTCGCCGTTGACCTCCCAGCTTCGTTTAAAGTGTTCCAGTTACACCTGGAAATTCTTCCAGACCAAGTCGGTGATTTATTGTCGCATTTTTCTCCAGCCCGAGTTGCAGCAATTCATGTATGTCGGATCTACATCCCAGACGTTGGGCGAGCGCGAACGTACTCGATGGGGGAAGTACAAACAAATCTGTTCTGGCAAGTCAGTATGTGGTGAACTTTCGCTTTTCTGGCATTACCGACGACGGAATTATCATCTTGCTATTCCGTTGTTGATCATGCATGTGCCTCAGGGTGACTGTTTGCATACGATTGAGCAGACGTTCATCAACTTGCTGCAGCCCCGCCTCAATGCTCCCTGGGTTCGGTCGCTGGTGAAAGCTAAACATGCACACATTGCCAATTCCGACCCTGTCAGATGTGTTCGCAGATTTGTGACATCGTGGAGAACTTTCAGGCGTTTTCGACGTCGGAACCTCCAGCTCACTGGACTGACGCCATCTGTCTTTCGCTCCACACATATAATCCAGAACATTGTCTACTGTTATCAGATTCTGTTTGACTTGGCATCGGACGGTTTGAAATCTTTTCTTGCCCAGAAGTATTTACGCAGCAATAGAGTCGACTCGGATGTTCTTTACAGACTGTTTCGGATGGCCACTCATTTGGGTGACCCTTTCTACGAGACGATCTGCAGGTCCAGATTGAACACTGTGCTGCAATTCAGACAGCTGAGGTGCCCGACCACATGTCGTCCTCTGTCCACTCCGTTCTTATTGCCGGAGGCAGGTTTCAAACGCTTGGTTCGTGGCTTGTTGGGTGATATCCTGGACGTCTCGTCTGACAGACTGTTGCCATACCACATCCCGGAGCAGGTTGCTCGCTCTTCGGGGCGTGGTCACGACTCCGACCTCTGGCGGGACGATGGTGTGGCTCCGTCGGACCCTGCACAATCGTTTGACGATGCTCTGAGGGGACTTGCTGATCCTTTCACGCGGGGGGACCAGTCCGGATCCGCTTCAGCGCGAGGAGGATTTCCAGGCGGGTCCTGCAGAACCGGATGAGGATTGGGACGCAGCTTATAGAGAAGCTGGCCTCGATGGGGCAGATGCCGGAGGTATTGATTTTGGTGGTCGCTCTTCTGAAGGGGCTTCCGAGGAGGGCGCCGAGTCCTCCTCTTGCTCTTTGCAGGACGAGGAAGAATCAGACGATGCTGATCGCTTGGCGGAGCTGGCGGGACCGATCGTGGCAGAGGCCGTTGTAGGTGGCGCCGACCTTCCTGATAGCTCTCTCTTTAGACATGTTGTCAGTGGCATTTTGCACAGGGCACGAGTTTTGATCCTGATGAGGATGGTGAAGTCTGGAAGCAAGCCTTCGAGGCACTGCAACAGCAAGGCTTTCAGCCACGAGCAGCGGCACCGTCAGCACAGGAAGTGGCACCACCACCTAGGCAGGATGCGGCTCCAGTGGTGACGACGCCAGTGAAGGAAGAGCAGCTTAGTGCACCAGTTACTGTTTTCTTTTGCGGAAGGCAAGCGAACTCCAATTATAAGGAGGTCCGGGCGTGCTCGGCTTACGAGCCCCGCAAATGTGCGAGGTGCTGGATTCATCGATGAGCTCGCGCTAAATAGAGTGTTTGCGCCTCTGAGATTTCTGCTTGCGTGGTCAGAGTTCACATGTTACTTTTCTGCGCAGTTTAGGCTGTGACCGATGGCTGTCGTAGATAGTGAGGCCGTCTTCGAAGCGCGATGTGCCAAGGTTGGTCTGTCCAGTGCAACGATCGCAGCCCTTAAAGGTAAGGGCTGGGGAACCTTCGCAAATTTTGCCTTCTCGACCTCGTTCATTCCGGGGCAGGGGGAGGACAGTGTCTTTGTGAGAGATGTGGTCGTTGCAGTGCTGGGCAGCTCTGATCATGCATCGGCAGCCGCTTTGAGGAGGCTTCATTTTGAGAGCTATACGCTTACGGCAGCGGAGCTCAAGAGGCAAACTGAGGCCACGGAAAGCGATGTGCCTCGGAAGTTGCCACCGGCCGAGATTGCAAGCAGGATCGAAGCACTTCAGAGGAAGGTGCTGCCTCTGCTTATCGAGGACAGCCTCGAGCCTTCACATTCGGTTGTGAACCTCGTGTCTCAGTGTGTCGAAGACCAGAGGGTCAGGTACATTGAGCTGTGCAGGGTGACCACCAGAAATCAGGAGGTCAATTCCCTCAAGGAGGTCCCTTCGCTAAAGATGCTTCAGCCTGACCGCTCAGGCGTGCTGCGGGCGGCTCCTACTCAGGACTCCTTGAAGGCGGCCGTCAGTACCGAACTCGAGGTCTTCCAAGCCCTCCGAAGGCGGGACATTGCTTACGAGTTGGGTGGATACATGTCCTTTGCAGCTCACGAGCAGTTGGTCTGCTTCTTGATTCGCGAGTTGCAGAAGGACACCCTGCCGGGTTGCGGGCGAGTGACGTTGAACCAAGTGCAGTCGGCCGACCGTGAGGTCCATATCCAGCTGGCGCGTAAGACGCGTGCTGGGTTTGTGATTCCGGGACCTGGCAAGCTGCCTTTGGATGACCATCTAGCAACAGTGCTGGAGATGCCCTCGATTCATTGGATCCTTTATGCCTCCTCGACTCGGGAGCAAGAGTGCTCCTGTTGAGGTCGAGGATCATGAGTCATTGGGTACGCCAACGGGCACCAAGAAGCGAAAGCGCAAAAAGAAGAAGCAGCCGGTCAAAGAGACCGAGGCGAGCAAAGTGCAGCCTCCTCCTGAGCCGCCGGCGAATCAGCCCGATCGCAAGAAGTTCAGGGGTGTGCTGCCGCAAGCCTTGCGAGGGGGCGTATCGCATACGAAAGCTGGTGCGCCCATCTGCTATGGGCATAACCTTGGGACCTGTGGCCATACAGGGGATCGCTGTGACAAAGGCGAGCATGTGTGCTGTGGACCGGGGTGTGAAGCGAAGGATCATGTGTTCGCTCAATGTCCGAAGGCCAAGCGTTCATGACTAGGCTCCTTCAAGGTTGCTGCTTCTTCTTCAGTTTTGCCTAGTGACTTCAAGCATGTCGGGCACTCGCCCACCGATTTTCCTGCTTTCGTCGAGCAGCTTGCTCGGACGATGTCTGACCGTCCGACAACAGATGATCTTTTGCAGCTTTTCGCAGAGTTACCTGGTGAAGCTCCTTGTCGGGGTTCCGCCGGTGACGATACCAAGTCCTGGACTACCGGGGCTTATGCGCAAAACACTTTTCGTGGACTTCGTACAAACACCCATGTTTTCCCGTTGTGTACCGAGGTCATGTGCCGTTTTCTTCGGATGCAGGCACCTCATCGCCCATTTGGGGCGTTGGCAATCTTTCAGAATCTCAAGGCTGATCTGCATCGCGACATTAACAATGACGGACGCTTTTTCAACATCCTTTACCCTCTGACTGCTTTCCAAAAGGGCGGTGTCTGGATCGAGGACCCTGCGGGTTCGACTGCTGCTCCTGCGAATCCTCGACTTCGAGGCAGGGTTCTGGAGGTCCATCCGGGACCGTGTTTTCTGGATGCGCAGAAGTTACATTCTACGATGGCTTGGGTCGGTCGCAGGGTGATCCTTGTGGGTTTTACGCCAAACGGGGCTTGGGACGACCCTGCTAGGGCTCGGACTCTCCTTCGCCTAGGGTATGTGCCGCCTGCGGAGGTTTCTTTCCCTGCCGAACCTCCTTGCTCCTTAAGACCCTTACCCGCCGGCCTGCCCAAGAGTAACACCCCGGACGGAGGGCCCATCCGTTCGGCAGTAGATCCTGACTCTCCCGCACGTGTTCCCTTCCTGCTTGAGCTCTTTTGTGGAACAGGTGGGCTTTCCTCAGCCTTCATCCGGCAAGGTGGCGATGCGCTGGGTGTGGATCGAGTGGTTCGCTCACGAACTGTTCGGGCTCCTGCTGTGAAGTTGGATCTGACTCGGGCTGATCATCAAGCACAGATCATACAGGAGGTTCAGCGTGCGGATGTCGTCTGGCTTGCTCCACCGTGTGGGACCGGCTCCAGGGCACGCGACATCCCTTTGCCAGCCCATCTGCCAGCAGATGTTTGTCTGTCTGCAAAGCCGCTTAGGAGTGCCGTGCACCCGGAGGGTCTTCCGGACCTTGCGGGTACTGAGGCTCGCCGTGTGAGACTTGCAAATCAGCTGTACCAATTCTCGTCGGAAATTCTCGAGCTTTGTGTGCGTTTGGGCAAAGTCTGTGTCATCGAGAATCCGAGGCGAGCCTGGCTTTGGAGTACCAAGTGGATGAAACCTTGGGTTGCCCGCTTGCATTCCTTGTTTTCTCATGCTTGTATGTATGGATCCGAGCTTAAGAAGGCCACTCGTCTGCTTTCCACACACCCTTTGCCGTCTATGCATGCTCTCTGCGACGGGCAGCATGCTCACAAGTCATGGGGCCTCACCCGGAGGGCTGGGCGCTGGGACTTTCAGACCAGCGGGACTGCAGCTTATCCGCCTGCCTTCTGCAAAGCCGCGGCGTCTGACTTGATCGAAATATGTGCTTCTTTCAATGCCTTTCCGCGCCAAGACGTGGTGTCGGATGTCTTTGCAGTAGCTGCAGCTGTGGGCCGACAGCCACGCGGTGTCACTCACCAGGTCGGACCTTCCGAGTTTGGTTCGACTTGTACCATGCGTGTGCCTTTGCACGTGGCAGTGCCCGAAATCATTGACTCTGCAGCCCCGTGGCCCTTGCAAGGGCTGCCGTCTGGTTCTCGTTTGTTGAGCTCTCGGACGGTGTCACACGATGGGGGTTCAGAGGGCGTCCGCGAGGTGAAGTTTGGCATATACCGTACTCCAGAAGCTTTTCTTGCTGAGGCGTCCAAAACCCGACATCCCTTCGATGTGCCATCGAACTTCGACATGGGCAACATTCAGGCCATGCAAGTCATCTTGAGTCAAGGAGTGGAAGGTGTTAAAAATCTTCGGGAGAGAGTGCTTTCTTACTACAAGGGCAGGGAAGCAGCGTTCCGTCCGGAAGAAGAGGCCCTCAGAGCTACTATGGATCCAGAGGTTCGAAAAGTGATGGAAGGCAAGAACTTCCTCCTCTTTCAAGAGATGCTTCGGGATGCAGGTGTGGAGGACCCTCATCTTCTCCGGGACATGACGCAAGGTTTCCGACTCATTGGCCCCCTGGAACCGTCAGGCCAATTTCCTAGGAAGGTCAGGCCGGCTGGTATCGATGTTTCTCACTTGAAGGCGACGGCCCGATGGTCCAAGCACCTGGTCGAGGCCTCGTGTCGGAGAGCCATGCAGGACCAGGAGATAGCCAAGGCTGTGTGGTCCGAGACCATGGAGCAAGTGGAGAAGTCTTGGCTCAAAGGACCGTTCAGCTGGGAGGAGATCGACAAGAAATATCAGGGTTGCTGGGTTCCGTCGAAGCGCTTTGGGGTCGCTCAGGCGGACAAAGTGCGAAGCGTGGACGACTTGTCGGAGTTCTTGATTAATGCTGCCGTTACTGAAACCGAGAAAATCACGCTGGAGGGGATCGACCATATAGTTTCCTTGGCACGTTTTTTCATTGGTGCTACGACGGCTGGGGTGTCGTCCTTCAAGCTTCCTTCATCCTCGGGGGAGTGGATCACCGGAAAGGTCCACCCGGATTGGAGAGCCGGGAGGGCCCGGAGTCTTTTCGGGCGTGCTCTGGACTTGAAAGCGGCCTACAAGCAGCTCTCTCGTCACCCGGATGACGGGTGGGTGTCGGTGTTGGCTGTTCTTGACCCCAACGAGGATGTGGTTCATTATTTTGAGGCGGTGGCGCTACCGTTTGGCGCGGTGAGCGCTGTGACCGGGTTTAACCGTACCGCTCGGGCTCTGAGGAAGGTGCTGACCAATCTTTTCTTCCTGACCACTACGAACTTTTACGACGATTACTGCCAAATGGAGTTGGAGCCTTTGCGGGATTCGGCACGCGTGATCGCCGAAGCCGTGCTGGACCTGCTTGGATGGAAGATTGCGCAGGGCATCAAGGCGCTGCCCTTTTCGCAGTCCTTCAACATGCTGGGGGCTTGCATTTCCTTTGAGAACGCTTACAAGGGTGAAGTCGTAGTCCGAAACAAGGAAGGAAGACTTGAAGCCATCGAAGAGGTCGTGAATGAGTGCCTATCGAAACGCCGGTGTGATCCCAAGGCTATTCTCTCGATCAAAGGCAAGCTGTTATTCGCCGCTGGGAATGTGTTTGGCAAGTGTGCTCAGATTGCAACTCAGCTTATCTCGCAATGTGGGACCGAGGGTTTCCGCATGGGCCGCGAGAGGACCGACGAGTTTCTGGTTGCACTTCAGTTCGCCTTGAACACTCTCAAATCTTCGGGAGCACGATGTGTTGGTGCCTGGAGTCAGCAGCCCCCGGTCCTTGTGTTCACAGACGGGGCTGTGAACAGGAGGGCTCTCTTGTGACTCACGGCGCTCTCCTCTACGATCCGGTCTCGGGTCGCAAGGAGGTCTTTGGCGATCATATCCCAGGGTCGCTTGTGGCCGCTTGGAAACGCGGGGGCCGGAAGCAGGTGATTTACTTTGCTGAGATTTTCCCTGTGGTTGTGGCCAAGGCCACTTGGAAGGATGTGATTGCCGGACGTCGAGTCCTCTTCTTCCTGGACAACGAGGGAGCTCGCTTCACCTTCATCCGCTCGTACTCTGCTCAGGTGAATGCTACTTCATTGCTGATGCAGTCTGCCAAGCTGGATGTGGAGTCGAGGGCACTGGGATGGTACAGCCGCGTCCCTTCTAAAAGCAATCCGTCTGATGCAGCCTCGCGCCTGGTTTTCGATTCGTACTCCGATTGTCGGCGTGTGGATCCCGTTTACGAAGCCCTGCTGCCAGAGGGCATGTGAAGGGGGTGGAGTGGGCTGGCATGGGCCGTTCTTCTGTCGAGATTCATTGGGCATCGGCCTAAAGATTTTGACATTGGAATGCGACGAAGGTCGCAGCTTGCTTGCGCCGTGCTGGAGGTGCTGCAGCTGACCCCCGTTACACTCAGGGTTTCGCGAACAAAAGAAGGTGAGTGAGTGCGCATCGCTATGCTATCGGATTGAAGAATTTTATGTTATATATAAATTTTCACTTCAAGCTTTGAGGAAATAAAGATCCTTCTCACACTTGTGTGATATGCTTTTATTTCCTCGCTTGAAAGTTTTGCGAGTTTCGTCTTGCAAAACGGGTGGAAATTTATTTTAACAAATTTTCTTCACGACCTGTTTTCACATGTCTTCAACTTGCGGATTTGTGCGTTGAATGGAATCTCGAACGAACTGCGGCCAGCAAGGCTCTGTGAAAGCACGGTGGCATTTTGACCCACCACTCCCGCCCGTCCACCGTGGGCTGGCATGGGCCGTTCTTCTGTCGAGATTCATTGGGCATCGGCCTAAAGATTTTGACATTGGAATGCGACGAAGGTCGCAGCTTGCTTGCGCAGTGCTGGAGGTGCTGCAGCTGACCCCCGTTACACTCAGGGTTTCGCGAACAAAAGAAGGTGAGTGAGTGCGCATCGCTATGTTATCGGATTGAAGAATTTTATGTTATATATAAATTTTCACTTCAAGCTTTGAGGAAATAAAGAGCACATAGGCTGTGCCGCAACTAGAAGTAGATGTACATAGTGTTTGTACATAGCCCTTTGTACAGAGAAGGGAAACATTTCCGCAGAAAGCCTTGGTAAAAGACCGTAGCAAGAACGGAGACGAAAAGTCCCAAGGTAGCCACAGTGTCCAGAAAGCGGAAACCCTTCTACGTTTTGTGCACAGTCGTAGCAAGAAACACCCAAATCTACGAAGCCTTTCCGAGGCGGGGTGTTAGACTGTCACTGTGTGCCGTGTACTGTATAGAGAATGAAGTAGTGGCGCAGTAGGAAGTGTCCAAGCACGAGCTGAAGCAGTGCGAACCCGGAGGCTTTGGCTCAGGACCGAAGTGAGAAAAAGTCGCGCGCAGTACGTAAGTACAGTAGAGAGAATCGAGCCATGGTGGTTCGAATGATTTTCAACAATTGCCCTTCAGCCTTCACAGCCTGTGACAGTGAGTGTCAAAACAATGCATCCGACTTCTGCCGTGCCTGTTGAGTGATCCAGTCAATCAGTCATGCAACGTAAACTCCTGTTGTGCCCAGGTCCGTCGCCGCTGATGACAAGCTCAACGCTTGACTCCACGCTCGGTGTTTTAAAATGTTCCGGTGTGCTCTCAGCAATGCTTCTGAGTGAGTGTGTGTGTGTGTGTGTGTGTGTGCATGGGCTAGCATTAGTCACAGTAGCCGCAGTCGGTTCCGTAAAAACTTTCCTCGCAGCCCCGAAACCACAACCCAGAAAATTAGACGCAGCGTCTATAAAACAATCGTGTCATGAGTATACGCATCAGACCCATCCTACCGCAAACAAGTATAACAACTGCACTCTAAAAGATCAGTTTCACAACCAGATCTCGAATGTAATCCAAGGGCAGTCGCGGCACGAGAAGAAATTGGTCTTGGGTGATGTTAACGCCAGGATTTTCCGCATGAAAGGCAGCTAAGTAGAGATCATACTTAACGCATCAACAGAGTACCATTGACGACATCACCCCCCCTTGACATGTAACCTGGACGTGTATCCCCTCGCTAGGCGTACAGGAACTGTTAAATTCTGTACATAGGAACGCCCAACACCTTTGGTGAGCCCAGGCTACGGTATAGTTTGTATAGTGTGACTATGCAGCGCCGTTGGCTTAAGCAGGAAAAGCATGAACGCTCGGGGTTTTACAGTTTAACTTGGTAGCGGAGCAGGGAAGCCTGAAGATCCAGGAAACCCGTGGGCCGAAGGAAACCCGGATTGGAACCGGAAGAAGTATTCGAGGATACCTGGAAACTGGACAGTAGAGCTTGGAATTCGCCATGAAGGTGACCATGGAGAAGATGTACAAGGACGGACCTCTTGCGATTGTGTTTGGATTCTGCATGAGTATCACGCTGAGCCAAGGAAGTATTCAGGAAACAAGTTGCTTGTGTATGAACATGTCTCACCTTGCTATTCGACCGCAGCTGTATCCCCTCGAAGAGGATAAGGAAACCTGTGTATGGGAACATTTGCTTCCAGGATGGCGGAAGTGTTAAACATCTTGCCAGGAACAGTAACACCGCTAGTGCAGTGTAGTTAATGTAAAGGAACAGCCGTCACGCACACGCGACGTGCAGGCTCGAGACTACCAGGACACACTCCGCAGTCCAGGAAAAGTGTCCGCCTTTGTGAGAGTGTAGGAAAGCTTAGTGAAGCCCGTTCTTTAACATGGTAGCGGAGCTGCCTCCAGGAACCTCCTTGGCAGCGATGATGCTACTCGTAGCAATAGGAACAATGATGCTCGCCGCCATGTCAGTTTGCCTCGTTGCTGGATGGAAGCAGATGCGCGCAAATGAGCAAGTGACCAAGAAGACAGAGACAGTGCTGACTATGCCCACGCTCAGGATCGCAGTCCGTTCAGGAACCAAGTACCACCGCAGAGGTTGTGGACACCTTCGGAACCACAACGTGACAGCAGGAAACGCTCGAGACTTCGACGCGTGCTCAGACTGCTACCCCGACAGAGTGCTGGTGGAACAGAAGGAGTACAGGAACGTGAAGTGCTACGGTCTGGCAGCATGTGTTGTGCTGCTGGTTGGTTTCGCCCTGGGATGCCTCGCAACGTTGTGCGGGATGACCTTGAACCCAGGAACAAGAAGTGTGGTTGTGACACCGTGGCAGGCCCTTGGCTACAGCGAGAAGGTCAAGGAAGAACTTGCCCTTGGAGATGGCGTATCCTCCAGGGATGCGAGCCGTGGGAGAAAGGAACTTACGTACGCGGAGAGCGACGAGAGCGAGCTCATGGCCGTGTGGACGAGCAGAGCAAGGAAGCCCAATACGCACCAGACAAGCTACAGGAACTACGACGTGTACGGCGAGTACTACCAGGAAGGCTACAACGTGTGCAGCGTGAACCCCGACGGCACCAACGTGAACACGATCAGGAACACGAACGCGTACACGATTAAGGACTACGTGGAGATCGGAAAAGCAATGATACCGTACACCCTTTTGTGTGCGAGTCAAGTGATGCACGAGCTCTACAGCGTCGTTGGCGTGATCGGCGAGTACTACACGGAAGAGAACAGGAACGGCGACCAGAACACCGAGAACCAGGAGAGTGAGAGCCTTGAGTCAGGCTACGCCCCTAGGTACCTAGTAAAACAACAGCGAGAAGTACTGAGAAAGGTTGTACAGGAACATGTTCAGAGTTTCGTAGAAAAGCTAGCAAAAGTAGGAAAGAAGTTTCACGACGTCGTGCATGTGATAGTTCAGGAAGTCATTTCCAACAGAGTTGTATTTCAAGGAATTCGCATAGCAGTGTTCTTAGGAACCCCAGTGGGACTGATTACTTGGATCACCCTGTCGTACTATTCTAGTTTGTTTTTCACAAGAGCAAGCAAAAGCTCAAAGCACCAAAGGAAAACAAGGGGAGAAAGGAGAGCACAAGCAGTGAACAGGAAGCAGTGCAAGTCACTACTTCTAGCAGCACTAGTGTACAGCAACCTTGAAGCAGCAAAAGGAATGGAGGATGCATTGAAGACACTTGCAGAGATCAATGCACAGACCTTACAAGGAATACAGACACTAGCAGAGGAGATCAGGAGCTCAGCAGCTTCAGGAAGCCAAAGAGAAGCAGGACTTACACAAGCGTTTCAGGAAACACTTACAGCAGTGCAGGAACAACAGAAAGCAGCACAGACAGCGTTGGCAGACGCTCACACGAACGCAGCAACAACACTTGAGGAGATAGGAGCATCTCTGGAGAAGGCAGTAAAGGAACAAAGAAAGCCTGGAGAAGTGGAGTTGCACAAGCTAATCAAAAGCCCTGAAGCGTTTTCCCCAGGAACATGGCAAGAAGAGAAGAGTGGCTGGACAGAGTTCAGGAACAGGATGCGGATCTGGCTTGGAGCAGTAGATTCCAACATGGTGAAGATCATGGACATCGTCGAAAGGAACCTCAAAGACGATAAGATGATAAAGATGAGTGAGATGTCTGGAGAAGCAAAGGAAGCTAGCCGCCGCCTGTACAGTGTTCTTTGTTCATATACCAAAGGAAGGCCTTACCGTGTTGTAAAGCATGTAGGAGAGGAAAACGGTATGGAAGCCTACCGTATGTTGATGAAGGAATACCAACCAACGAATCGTGCAAGAACCTTGGAACTGTTTCACAACATCCTCAACTACAGGTTTGCTCACAACAAAGGAATTGCTGAGAACATCCTCGAATATGAGGAGCACATTGAGAAGTACGAGAAGGCGACAGGAGAAAAGGTACAAGAGAACTTGAAAGTCTCTACTCTTATTCAAGGAATGAAGCCTGATGTTAAAAGGCACCTGTTGCTCAATCTTGACGAGAAGACACAGTACACCGCTCTTCGTCAGTACCTTGTGAACTACGAGTCAACCGAACGTTGGACTAACTCTTTGTCAGCCCAGCAAGGAACACCTCACCGAACCACGACAGACTTGATCGACAAAGGTGATGACCATGGTGGTCTTGCAGCAATGGACATCAATCAAGCATGGTACAAAGGTAGGAAAGGCTATGGCAAAGGTTATGTTCATAACAAAGGCAAAGGCAAAGGTAAAGGCAAGAAAGGTGGAAAGGAGTTCGGAAAAGGTTTCGGATTTGACGGTAAAGGCAAAGGTAAAGGAAAAGGTTTTGGAGGTTTTGGCAAAGGCAGAGGTCGAGGCAACTGGAAAGGTCGAGGTAGAGGATTCAGAGGCTACAAAGGAAAAGGCAAAGGTCGAGGAAAAGGCTTCTACAGGCATAAAGGAAAAGGTAAAGGAAAAGCCCAAGCAGCTACAGG